TGTGACCAGTCAAATTGACCAATCAGTGTGACCAGTCAAATTGACCAATCAATGTGACCTGTCAATTTGACCAATAAGATAATGTGACCAGTCAAATTGTCCAATCAATGTGACCAGTCAAATTGTCCAATCAATGTGACCAGTCAAATTGACCAATCAATGTGACCAGTCAAATTGACCAATCAATGTGATCAGTCAAATTGACCAATCAATGTGATCAGTCAAATTGACCAATCAATGTGACTAGTCAAGAGGACACATTTAGGGGTAACTGGTTTGAGCCCAGTGGACACCATATGTTAATTGAGTTTGCTTGATGTGTTGTTCTCTCCTATATTCTACAACTGTTTGTTTTTGGGTTCTGTTTTCATCAACATGTATCGACATTTGAGTTGAGTGCCATGTGCATAGAATATTGAATGTAGTGGTATTGTGTGTGAATGAAAAGTGTCCCCAATTAGAAGCAAAAGTGCTAGAACGATTAGAAACTTAAGAATAAAGATTTTTTTTAATTGTTACTTACTACAGCTGTAGATGAATTGCCACACAAACCAAGGCCAGTTTCTATCTCAATTTATTGCTCATACTTTCTTGTATTTTCTTGTATTTCCAGATGTTATTTGGGTGATAATATGTGTGGATGAAGGAGGACTTCTTGCAGTAACACAGCAGCTCTCCCACCTGGGACAAGAATTCTCTCCTGTCAACCCTCCCTCAGGTTCTCCTGTCAACCCTTTTGGACTACTGCCAACAACACCCAATGGAAACTCACCCCAACCCACCTACACTGTACCACATAATAGCCCATCTAGTTTATTAGGCTCTCCTATCAGAAGATCTCTCTTTAATAATAGCAATGAGGTGAGTGTTAGTGTATTAATCCAATATTAAAAAACTCATTAATAATTCATGAAGGAAACACAATAGAAATCATGACCATGAAGGAGGTTTTATATCTGATATAGATTCGTCTTCATTTGCATAAACTTTAACTTGGATTTTCTCTATCAAACTTGGTTCATTTCGTAAAGAATTCAGTATAGTATGAGAACATACATCATGAGTTTTTTAAGCCGTTTAATAAACGAGCAGGAGTGTTTTATCGGGTCTAAAACCACTCGGCTATGCCTCGTGTCTCATACCCCATAAAACACTCCTGCTCGTTTATTAAACAGTACGTAATGTTGATGCAGAGATGAGAATATGTGGACCGCGTAGCACTTATGAAATACAAGATATAGAAATATAGATAAGTTATACTGCTTGGTAACGATGTTGATGGTGATGATGATGATAATGATGATGATAATGATGATGTTAATGATAAAAATGATGATGATTGATGAGGATGAAGATGAAGATGATGATGATGATGATAATAATAATAATAATTATTATTATTATAATAGAGATACAGAGTTCATAACTATGCAAAAATTGTTGATATGACTTCACAGAGGTGAATAAGGGGGTCGCCTTGATTCCAAGATTCTAGTAAGAAATTGAAATGAAAACTTCGCAACACATTCTAGGAGGGGGACTTAAGATAACCTGGCGTGAATGACCTTTTCATCAAGGGGATAGTAACTAGTTACATATTACATTTTATTATGTAGTTAGGATAGTATGTGCAAGCTGATTGGCCGAAAACTGTGCTTTATTAGTGAGCAGAGCAAAGTAATGACGCCATTCTTGCGCATAAAGTTCTGCTAGATCCTGTGACCTTTTTTCTTTTTGCGTAAATAAATTCAATACAGGAATAAAATTAGTAACTATAATAAAAGAGCATGGTAAAAGCTGTTTTATTTGTTAATCTTTTTTGATTGCCCCATACTAAAGAAAGCAGGAACTATAAGAGAACTGATGCTCTTTATGACTGTTTACTCCCAATAGTCATGCACTCACGTGCAAAACTCTTGTTCGGTTCAAAACTGAAGTGAACATAGAAGTTGAGGCCAATGCATATGTTTGAGATACAGTCAATATGACGCATTAAAAGCCTTATTCCATGCTTTCTGTCACTGCAACAATTTATGAACATTCCACGAGTTTTATAACTAGATACATCAAATTAACATACTTCAAATGTATCATTTTGGTTGTACAATATGCTTTGAACTCTGCAATGATTGTGTAATGTGTGGTTTCAGAAATTACCCTAACCTGGCCCCCAACAATTTTTTTTAAAGATCCTACCCCTCTGAAATTCCAAATTTCTTCCATACAAACTCTGTAATTTTGTTCTTTCTCTGACCCCACTGCTTGGAAATTCCAAATTCCTCAGTGAGGGGGGTGGTATGGATAATTTCTGCAACTACACAATTGAGTTTATTTCAGGTTTGTAGATTCCTATCAAAATTTGGTAAAAAGTCAAATTGTAATAAATTATCTAGATGTATAATTTTGGCTTTGCATTCTCTTCTAGGTTGTTGACCACCCCTGCACACGTTCACCATTTTGTGGTAAGGATGAGGAAATCTTAGCAACACAATTAGATCAACCTTCATTACGGCAACCACACAACCAATGGGACTGCTCTCAATTATGACAGTAATTTAAGTTGGAATATTAATCTTAATAACCATAATAGTAAATATATAATATCTTTAGGTATTTATTATTATTGCAGCAGGTTTCACACTGCGTTTCTGTGACTGACAACTTCAGGTGTCGTGGTGTTTTGTGACCAACAATGCTTGCAGGCACACTGCAGCTGTGTCGGTCATGTGATAACGAAAGTGGGTATACTGTACTGTAATACATTGGTACAACCTTTTTGTGGGCTTTCCTGTCTTTTTACTTTGTCTTGCACTTGGGATCCCTGTGTTAAAAAATAAAGGAGCGAGGTTGAGCACCAAAGTAACAATCAACAACATCACAAAGCAGAGGCACATTGTGTGTGTCAGTTTTCTTTCTTTTGTGCTTGGGAGTCCTGTGGTAAAAAATAAACCCCTCACAGGTAGCCCACAAAAGGAACTGACAGTCAAGAAGACTGCAAAGTATTGCTGCTGTAAATCTATGATGAGGGAAACGAGATTAAAAACACAATCCTGCATCATCTGGAGTTGTGTGAGTTAAACGCAATATGGAGCATGCTGATAGGTGATTGTATGTAGTAAAATATTGATAGATGCCTGGCTTCCATAAGCTCTTCACCATCTGCTATCCATTCATTTCAGTAACTGTTATGATTTGAATTAGCCTTCATAGGGTAAATGAAAAACCAGTTCATAGTTTGATAATCGTTTTTGTGTGCATGCGATTTTATCTCGAATTTCTCACTTTCTTTTGTTCAACGAAGAACAAAAGACAGTTTAAACAAAAGAAGTGAAAAACTCAGGATAAAATTGCATGCACACTGAAAACAATTCTTAAACTATGGACTGGCTTATTGTAAATGTTTATAAACCAACCAGAAAGGAAAACCAGATTCTACAGTATACACAGTAATCCTTCTTTTTGTTCAATGAATACTGTTATTTTTGATGATCACTAACTCGTTTATACAGGTTTAGCCTAGCTTTGTTTATTAGTCACTACTCATAGATTCCATCAAATGTCTGGGGGGTTTCAAAATATTGGTAGTCTTCACATTTTACATTAATATTAATATTGGTTTACATCATATATAGCTGTCTTTAAATTGCCAATAAGTTGCTCTTATGAGCAAGCTAAACCAGTATCCATGAATCTGTATTCAAAGATTATAACCTCATGGTATGGATGGATCTAAAAATGATCAAGCCTTACTGAGGTTAAGGAAAAAACTGGGTCAAGTCCAAAAAAAATCAAATCAATCAAATCACCATAGAGAAAAGGTCCTTAACAATCTTTAGTTTTTGCTCACTTCTGTTTGGCTCAYTTCTGTTTGGCTAGGTGAGAATACAAGGTTAAAGCTTCAGTGCATTTCGACATAGATTCTTAGTATGCAGAGAAAAGATTTCTGCTGATATCATTGTTAGTTATGTGTATTAAATTTGAGAGGAAGAAACATGGATAGAGTGCAAACCAGTACAACTGTGAAACTTTAGTAATACTAAACAGCACAATTTCATGCAAATTCCATTATTTTCTATTGTTTAACTAGCACTATTTTGTACTATTTAGTAATTAGTGTTTCACAGGTTAATTGTTTGCACTCTACTGGTTACTAGAGAATTTTGTGATTTTTTTTCTGAAAGATATTTTACTGCAGCAAGAAAATAACTGTGTGATTTTTTTTCACCAATGCAATAATGTTTACTCCATATTGCCTTGCATTGAGAGGTTATTCTTTGGATCTTAAAATTTATGGGGGTGGGGGTGAAAAAATTCCTAAAAATTCTTCTGAAATTTTTCTAAGTCCACTGGTGATTAGAAAATATCTTGCATCTCAATAGCTAATRAAAAAGAAAATAGTAAAAAAATTCTTAGTTAGAAATTATCTGAATGAATGAAGAACTCCTTGTTATTGAAAGATCTTATTTAATACTTTGATAGAATCTTTCTTTACGTATAACTGAATAGTTTTGAAACTAAAAGTGATTGAATTATATAGATAAAAGAAGGTATTCAAATGTTGGTGTTTTGTATTTTATTAGTGGTTAATGCTTTTGACTTTGAGGTGGATAAAAGTAGCCTGTATAGAGGTTTTGCAACATCACTTGTCCACACCCATAATAAAGCTTGGGCTGCCTGTGGTTAGATGTCACAACAATACCCCTTTCCTCTCGTGAATTGAATTCTTTCTTATGTAATACGATTGTTCCTGCCATCTAACATGGCTGCCGTCACGTGGTGGTGCAAAACCTCTATTTTTATTACCTTTTAGTTAGGCTACTCTTTTACCATCCTTTTGGGTTTTTTTCTTTTCTCTGCTTTTGTTTTAGTTTTTYTTCGTTTTGTTTTGTTTCTCTACTATTCTTTGTTTCTTTTTCTATTCGTTTTTTATATTTTCATTCCTTTTCTATTCACTTTAATTTTATTTCCTTTTCATTTCTTCTCCCTTTCAGTTCGTTTCTTTTCTTTCTCTTTTTGTTTTGATTCTTTTTTTTAATTACTTTTTTGTCTTGCCTTTTTCTCTTTCTCTTTTTGTTTTNTTTTTTTTTTTTTTTTTTTTTTTTTTTTTTTTTTTTACTTTTTCAGTGTCTTTCCCTTTCTTTGGTTCTTTCTCTTTTATAGCATAAATCTTGGAGCTAAATTTGTCGCAGTTTATAGTACCCCATGCAATCTTTGTTGAAAGCTAGTCTGGAGTACCGTTCTCTCGTCTCAAGCCACAGGCATCCCACGATAAAAAAACTCGTTCACGTTTGACTGAGAAAGGTCGCTTGAATAAAAACAATATAGCCTTATTAGGACCTGCTGAGTCCTTTTAATAAGCCGAATAAAGAGTAAAAATGTTCATCACGTCGCTCAATACTGTTTCCGTTTCGGCTCGGCTCGTCATCTCGAACATTCTAGTACGCCCACAGGCCGCGATTGGCTGTATTTCATTTGTCGGCGTTTAATAATAGCCCCAAAAATCACTGACCATGGCCAAAAGAAGTAGGAAAGGGTCCAATATTGTCCAGGAATTATCAGGCCACGCCTAGTTAAACGTGATGACGGCTGGACCACATAACCACTTATTTATAGGCCGATCTTAGTGACGTCACTGACGTCATGCGTTGTACACATTTTGCTATTCAGCTATACGTACTCACGAAGAACCGAATGAAAAAAATCAAAAATTTATAAAATGATTTGGTTTAACAACCGTTGTACTATATGTATAAATATTGGGTTAACAATCTGATTAACGTTTTTTTTCTAATGTGTTCATTCAGTCAACTTGAAGTTGAGTTTATCAGAATTAGATGCTAATTAGGAAAACAGAAATAAACTTACCAAAACTCTGTCTAGCCCTTCCCCTACCCCCCACGGTAGAAAATTGACATGAGGTTAGTTGTCCACGTGGTCCATTGTATGTTTACTATGCCATATAGACTTGACCTGATCTCATTAAAGTCGTCTAGATCTTGAAGACAAACTGATAAACACCTAGTGAAATTCCAGAGCTCATTTATTAAAGGTCATTCTCAATCCACAGTAGTGATACTCCGCTACGCTTCTCACAAGAAAGCTTGGACGTCCCTTCGCTGTCGTTTGTAGGCATTCTGGTAAGTTTCCCATTTTGAAGCCGAAATTTTTGGGTGAGGTTTGTTTGTCACTGTATAGATATGGCAGACAGCTTGGCTTGCCTTCTTGTACTCTATTACTCGTTTCTTAAACAATTAAACATGCCAGTCCTCCTGTAAAATACTTCGACAACAAACTACAATACGAAGGAAAGAGGATTCTTGTTGGAAAAGGGATCTCCGATTGCTTTTTTTCAGTTTCAATATTGCTGGCGCTTCGTTTCAAGCCTCCGCTCAAGCTATGTTATTAATAAAGTTTGATGTTTTAATTTGGTGATTATAATATGGCAGAATAGAACCTCAGAGTTTCCGTAGATTTTTTACTGAAAGCTAAAGCTTCTATAGTTTTTTTAAATAAAAAATAAGTTCAAATATATGAAAAATATAAGCAGAACTCGATAGCTCAAAGCGTTCAATTCTCTTTTTTATTTATAATCGAGACTCTCGGCGGCTTTTTTCCCCCTTCTCAGTGTATATCTCTCTTTTCTTTCTTCCTTTTGATTAAATGGACGAGTTATAGGAAAGATGATGACCAGCAAGACGTTTTCATTGATTTTTTTTGTACCGTGAAAAATATGAAGAAATGTTTTTTTTTTTTTGTGGTAATAGATCGGTTTGTTGTTCGTCACGCGAGATAGCGTGACGAAGTAAATCAATGATTTTCGTTTTCTTTTGCAAACGATAATGTAAGATTATTTTCAAATTATCAGTATAATTGTTCTTATGATTTTAATCATAAACGATTAATCTAATGTGATATTTGTTCTGATAATGTCCTATTTAAGGACGAATCAATGAAAACCTTTGCGGATCTGTAACTCAGCCTGCAAAAATTTAAACAATCCAATCGTTTAATTCGCCCAAAATGAAACCATTTCCCGTTCATAAAGGCAACCATAGATAATTGTTTATAATAACAAAAGAAAGCTTTAAAGTTATGACTAAACCAAGGAGTGGCTCGCGAGGTCATCGGTATTGTATGTTCGCTCCGTGTTGACCCAAAAGTCGCCTCTTCCCTAACACTCCTCCTTGAATTCACTTCATAATTGATAAATTTCTATTAATTATACATAGTATTTATTCATATCTAAAGATCTTCTTCTGGAATGGAATACATTAAGACTAAGTGAATCAGGTCTTCAAATTACACACATTTTTCAGGCATTATTGGAAATTGTCTCAAACGTCGCAGGGAGTTGAATCTTACCATTTTTAGTATTTTTTCCCTCGCTCTTAATGGATATCAGTTGACCTCAGCATATTTAGACTACATTTCTAAATTTAAAAGTGTATATCTATTTCTGAAACTAAATATGGGTAAAGGTGACCTTTACCGCGGAGAAATCTACACTGTCATGTAACGATATATTTGTCTGAATGAACGGCTTGTCTCAATATACAATACAATCTTAAAACACCATTCATAGTAATGGTTCAGCTTTACCTTATTGTTCCTGAAATAATGTTAATTGAAAATTATATTGTTTGAATGGGATGAATCTAACGAAAATCTGATAAATTGTTATTCACTTTTTTATTCTTTTTATCAATATTTTTTAGAAAGTTTTTTGTGGTCTATCATGATAACACACATCCGCTTCCTCTTTTTTTCTCGGAAATGACTTGAAGTATAGTTGTAATAAGTCTAAAAAGACGGATTTAATTGTTTATAGTTTATCAAGAAAAAAGGCATAACAACAATCTTTTTAAAATTTAAGGATTTCAAACATCGATTTTAATAAATTGTATACGGTTTTGCAGTCAAAATTCCTCTCATGTCTAAGAAAATATAGGTTTAACAGTTCAGCTATTCTTTTCTTTGTAGTACATATTTTTCATATTTTCTCGCGAAAAAATAGGATATTTAGGATACTCCTAAATAAGGGTTCAATAAAGTCGATTAACTATTTAAAATTGTCAAGAATTCGTTACCAAGAGGATGTGTTTGAGATGGCCATATTTGGTCATAACAAGGTGGCATGTTTAATTGCCGTTAGTGCCAAGGATAGTTCCTCTCAATAGAGCGTATTTTGGTTGGATCACACAGATCACAGTGGATTCTTTATCTCTGCCAGAAATGATGAATAGTAAAGAATATTCTAGAAAGGGTTTCCATGTCAAATTTGTGGTCTTGAATAGTTTTTATTTCTTATTTTTATGAGCGAGTGCCAAGGTGACTTTCCATGCAATTTTTGCACGCACCATTGCATGAAACGATAAATTTGGGAGACTTTGGTTTAAAACAATTATAACTCGATCGAATGAGAAAAGATAAAATAAAATAAAATAAAATAAAAAATCTAAGAAATAAAAAATAAAATAAGATAAAATCATTTTTCCCATTTCGAACTAAATGTTCCGTTCCCTTTAGTATTAGTTGGTCTTATTTGTTTGTTTAACGGTAACGTGCAATATTGAGAAGACGTTTCTATACGGACCTGTGACATTTTTCACATTCTTTTTTTAGTTTTTATTTTTTTCAAGGAAAACTTAAACCAAACAGAGTATCATTTTTCAGGTATATATATATTTTTTCTCGTTAAAGTTTTAATTATGGAACTTCTAAACATCAGTGAAAATACAACCATTATCTTTGCAATGTTTTCCTCGAATCCTTTACAAATATTTCACATCAGGGTTCGTGAAATGTTTCCAAGGACTTTGGAACGTGACGTCATGGATACCAAGCGCGCACCACAGGTAGCCCAGTATTCAGAGACAATAATAAACTGCTGAGCTAATTAAATATTCATCAGTCCCAATTAGGACAAAATTTTGTTAACACCTTGACCAATGAGAGATGAGAACAAGGTGTAAATCATCAGTCAGTTTTATGTCAATATGATCTACAGAGGAGGTTGACAATGAACGAGATCCCATGCAGAATGATGCCTTGTTCTACGACTGCAGTTTTAATAATTATCTCAATAAGTGTGCGCACATTTTTATTCAACAAGAAATTTAGTTATTAGCTGCTGG